TTCACTTTGTTTCTCTGGGCTAACACTGGGTCATCTTTTTTCTCTTTTATGGGGGTCACTGTTGGTTCTTCTCTGCGTGTACACTGGTCATCTTTTCTCATGGTCACACTGTCATCTTTCTCTGGGCCCGTGTTCCTGTTTTGTTTTCTCTGGGGACACTGTTCATCTTTGTCTCTGGTACACTGGCTCATTCTCTTTTTCTGCTGGGGTTCACTGTTTGTTTTTTCTCTGGCCGTACACTGTCATCATTTTCTCTTGATTGACGTAATGTTCTCTTTCAGTGAACCCAGAGAAAAGATGACAGTGTACCCAGAGAAAACAACAGTGAACCCAGAGAAAAGATGACAGTGAATCCAGAGAAAAGGTGATGGTGAAGTCAGAGAAAAGACGATGGTGAATCCAGAGAAAATACAATAGTGATCTCAGGGAAAAGACAATAGTGAACCCAGAGAAAATACAACAGTGAACCCAGAGAAAAGATAACGGTGCACCCAGGGAAAAGATGACAGTGCACCCAGAGAAAAGGTGACAGTCAATCCAGAGAAAGGACAATGGTGAACCTCAAGAAAAGATGACAGTGCATCCAGAGAAAACGTAACAGTGAAACCAGAGAAAAAACAACAGTGAACCCAGAGAAATACATCAGTGACCCCAGAGAAAAGATGACAGTTCACCCAGAGAAAGGACAATGGTGAACCCAGAGAAAAGATGACAATGACCCCAGAGAAAAGATGACAGTTCATCAAGAGAAAGGACGATGGTGCACCCAGAGAAAATATGAGTGAACCCAGAGAAAAAACGAGAAGCCAGAAAAAATAAATCAGTGACCCCAGAGAAAAGATGACGGTTCACCCAGAGAAAAGACAACGGTGCACCCAGAGAAAATACAACAGTGAACCCAGAGAAAAGACAACAGTGAACCCAGAGAAAAGATGATAGTACACCCAAAGAAAAGACGACACTGAACCCACAGAAAATACAACAGTGAACCCAGAGAAAAGACAACAGTGAACCCAGAGAAAAGACAACAGTGACCCAGAGAAAAGATGACGGTGCACCCAAAGAAAAGACGACAGTGAATTCACAGAAAGTACAACAGTGAACCCAGAGAAAAGACGACAGTGCACCCAGAGAAAAGGTGACAGTGAACCCAGAGAAAAGACAGTGTGCCCTGAGAGAAGACGACAGTGGACCCTGAGAAAAGCCTCAGAGAGCTATCCAGGACACAATCCATCCAGGGATCAGATGCCCCACAGTTAATGACATTTCTGCCACTGTTGGAATTTTCATGTTTATTTGATATGTGATTTATGCAAAGATCTGGTTGTACCTGGAAGATGGAAGAGTGAGGACCACAGTTCATTACGAATCCGAGGAAGTTTGCCTTCGTTCACTTACTGCTACATCCACACAGCTCACAGCATGGTGGCCCACAACGACTGAGGATGACAAGAGGAAGATAATGTAATTTTCGAATGTGATTTTCCTGAAACCAAGTCAACTACAGCTGATACATTTTATTTCATTGGTTAATGTTTACACGGGAAAAATCAATATTATACTTTACTGAACTGTGTGTAATTGTTCCATGTTTTTTGATACCTGTTTGACTTACCATGGGGTTGACATAATGAATTCATTGCACCTTGTTCAAAAGGAACCAGGAGGTTTTTGTCAGCACCGTAATGTAAATTCCATTGCAGATGGTAACTGTAGATGGAAAAAATGAAATGCTTCCCTAAATCAGACATTTTGGTCAAGTAGCTTAACTCAGTACAGGTAGGGAGATATTTAAATATAAAATACAATGAAAGAAGTCTAAATACTTAGAATCTTTGTTTAAATCCTGAAAGTAACCAATAATCCATAAGCAAAGCAATATTGCTCTACCGGGTCCTTTACACATTTATTTCATCATCTAGCTTTCCATATTGAATAAATTTACAGATTTAATTTCTATAACTTGAACCTGTGAAGCAATGAATATTTCTGCTGTTTAGTGTCTTGTGATGCAGAATTCTTAAAAACACTTGTTTTATAAAACCAAGCTTTAAGTGAAAAATGAAGAAATAAAGTTAAGCGTGTTTTTTTCTTTTAAAGAAGCTCTAGTGATCTATTGCATAGCATGGTGATGATAGTCAACATACTGTATTGCATATTTCAAAATTGCTAAAATAACAGATTTTCAATGTTTTCTTCACAAAAAAAGATGTTTGTGCAGTAATGTTATTTAGCTTGATTCTATCATTTCACAACGCAAACATATATCAAAACTTCACATTGTACCTAATACATATATATAATTATTGTTGTTTGAAATTATTTTGAAAGAGACAAGATTGAGCTGCTGCGAATAGGAATGCAGAGTGGGCGGCACAACTGCAAAGAGCAAGGGTCACTGTCAGGGTCAATACAGCAACCTCTAACCGTGGCTGGGTCACAGGGAGGCTGAGGGTACAGCTGACAAAGCCTATGACCTCAGCCAGGCGTGGGGGTGTGCCTGTAATCCCAAGTACTGGGGAGGCTGAAGCATGAGAATCACTTGAACCTGGGAGGTGGAGGTTGCAGTGAGCTGAGATCGCGCCATTGCACTCCAGCCTGGGCCACAGAGTGAGAATCGGTCTTTTAAAAAATAATAATAATAATAAGGCCTGTGACTTGACCTGCAAGGAGTTCAGAAAAAAAGACAAGAGAAAAAACATGTTCCAGGGGTTTCGACATGAGGCTGGAATGAACACTTTGTTCACTGCCTGTTTTCATGCAATGTAAGAGTGAAGCCAGAGAAAAATCTTTCCAGAAAAGATTTAAAGGACACAAGTAAGACTTAAATGTCAGTTCAGTTCCTGCTTTATGGGGTTCGGCAAATCGAGTTAAGGGCCTTTTCCACAAATGCTCAGACATTCCAATGAGACCAAATCAAGCAAGTGGAATTACTTGAAACTCAGAGACCAGATTCCATTCTCCCTCCGTTTTTTGAAATCGTCACTTCTTTATCACCAGCTGGGTTTTGATGACTCTTCAGGTGTAAAGGTCAACCTCACAGAAATGGGAAAACCTGTGTTGTTAGGAAGGATGGTTTTAAGTGAGCATTTGAAGTTTTAGGGCAAGAATAGCCTCGGGCCATCTGTCAGGAAAAGCTGCCACATCTGGGCAGTGTCTCTCCTAGGGTGAAACGTGCGCAGATTACACTGAAGTAATAACGAGCTCACCTAGAGTTTGACAGCAGACAGGAAATTTACAGGCACGGCATGTGCCTTCGGTGCCCGGGCTATGGAGGAAAGAACACAGACGGTCTTCCTGAGGCGGGGCAGACGAAACCGCTGAAAGTGAAGGAGAATTAAGGCGATACACGGTGGTCATTCAAAAAGCCTCACACTTCCCCTCCTAGGAAGATGGAACAGGCATGCGTTTTCCTCCTTCCCGCAGGTGCAACCGGAAACCTCGGGCAGGGCCCGTCAAACAAACGCAGGAAGACCGGGGCGGAGAGAGGAAGCCCCGGGGATCTGGGGGACCCTGAGAACGACAGGATGGGGCGTTCCTGGGTTTTCTTTTTGACTCTTCCACCCCAAACTGGGTGTTCACGAGGACGCAGAGGAAGACAGCCCCCGCTGCTGTCTCCAGCCAGAGCACTGGGAGAGGCGCGGCTCCAGGAAGTATTTCAAGGACCCTGGGAAATGGGTGATCTCGGACTGTGAAAAACCTTCAGAAGACTGGAAGTGTTTTGAAGTTGAAGGTTATGGTTCTTTCTCATTTTGTTTCAAAACAGGTCCCCCATTTCCCTTACTGTAGGATTCGAGGAGACAACCAGAGGAGGAAAGGGGTGTCAGGGTCAGAGCCGCCTAGAAGGCGACGAGAAGCAGAAGCGCAGGCCTGCGAGGTGCTCTTCAGAGTGACTTCGCTGTGGGCCGCGGAAGGCAACAGAAGGAACTCGGCTTCCACTGGCCACGTTCCCCTCCCCGGAGCGCAGGACACAGCCCGGTTTCTTCAGGCGGCGGCTCCAGCCAGCTCCGCCCCACAGGGAAGCAGCGCGCAGCTCCCACACCCCGCAGGCGGCGCAGAAGACTCCGCCTTCCCGGAGCGCAGGCGTGTGGGGGGCGCCGCCCTCGTCGCCGTCGGGAGCCCCGCAGGCCCGCGGCCGTCTGCCTGGTTCTCCCGCCTCTGCAAGCCTCGCCTTCAGGACTCCGCCTCGCCGTCCTCTTTTCTGTCGGGAGACTCACGGGGCCGTCTGTCCGGACGACGTGTGCACATTTCTCACCACGATTCCTCTGCACACCAGGTCCCGGCACCGCCGCGCTGGCGTCGGCACAGCTGAATTGTGCGGGCAGCGAGGGGGCCTCAGGGGGACCGCTCAGCTCCCTGAGGGCGCACCCCGCCTGGTCCGGGGCGAAGAATGAACTTCCTCCGCGGTTTTCAGTGACCCAGTTTGTGGCACGGCACATGCTGAAAAGGTAAATCTGACCGCGTTACCTCAGAGATGGGCCGTGAGCGGCTTTGTGCCGCCAAATGACCTGTTTACCCAACAGCGCCCCCTGTAGCCCGGTGCTCAGAACGGGCTTTTCCATGACGTTCCTACATTGTGTTTACAGCGCTCTGTGAGGGGTTTGCACGCACAGGCCGACCTCGTTTTATTGCGCCTTGCTCTATTGTGCCTCGCAGATACTGCACTTGTTTTTACAAATTGAAAGTCTGTGGCAACTCCGTTGGGGCACATCAATGGGTCCCATTTTCAAACAGCTTGTGCTCACTTCATATCTCTGTGTCACATTTTGGTAATTCTTGTAATATTTTGAATTTTCTCATTATAATTATGCCTGTCATGGTGATCTGTACTTAGTGATCTTCGATTTTACTTTGTAATTGTTTTGGGGAACCAACAACCACACCCAGGTAAGACGGAAAACATAATAAATGTCAGGTGTGTTCCATGTGCTCCACTGACCAGCTGCCCCCATCTCTCTCCCTCCCCTCAGGCCTCCCTAGTCCCTGAGACACAATTGTGGAATTACACCATTAATAACCCACAATGGCCCCTAAGTGTTCAAGTGAAAGGAAGAGACACACATCTCTCACTTTAAATTGAAAGCTAGAGATGGTTAAGCTTAGTGCAGAAGGCCTGTTCAAAGTTGAGATAGGCTGAAAGCAAGGCCTTTTGCACGCAGGAGTTAGCCCAGTTGTGAATGCAAAGACAAACCTCTTAAAGAAAATTAAAAGTGCTGCTTCCGTGAACACATTAATGACAAGAAAGTGAAACAGCCTTATTGCTGATATGAAGAAGGTTTGAGTGGTCTGGATGCAAGATCAAATCAGCCACAGCATTCCCTCAAGCCAAAGCCTACTCCAGAGTAAAGCCCCAACTCTCTCCAGTTCCACAAAGGCTAAGAGGAGTGAGAAAGCTACAGAAGAAAAGTTGGAAAGTGGCAGAGGTTGGCTCATGAGGTTTAAGAAAATAAACCATATCCATAACATAAAAGTGCAAGATGAAGCAACAAGTGCTGATGGAGAAGCTGCAGCAAGTTATCCAGAGACCTAGTGAAGATAAGTGATGGAGGTGGCTACACCAAACCACAGATTGTCAGTGTAGATGAAACAGCCTTCTCTTGGAAGAAGATGCCATCCAGGACTTTCATAGCTAGAGAGGAAAAGTCAATGCCTGTCTTCAAAGCTTCAAAGGACAGGATGTCTCTTGTTAAGAGCTAATGCAGCTGGTGACTTAAACTTGCGGCCAATCTCATTTACTATTCCAAAAATCCTAGGGGCCTTAAGAATGATGCTAAATCGGGAGGCCAAGGTGGGTGGATCACCAGAAGTCGGGAGTTTGAGGCCAGCCTGACTAACATGGAGAAACCCCGTCTCTACTAAAAAAAAAAAAAAAATACAAAAATTAGCCAGGCATGGTGGTACGTGCTTATAGCCCCACCTACTCAGGAGACTGAGGCAGTAGAATTGCTTGAACCCAGGAGGCAGAGGTTGCGGTGAGAGAAGATCGTGCCATTGCACTCCAGCCTGGGCAACAAGAGCGAAACTCCATCTCGGAAAGAAGAAGAAAAAAAAAAAGAATTATGCTAAATCTACTCTGTCTTTGCTCTATAAGTAGAACAACAAAGCCAGGATGGCAGCACATCTGTTCACAGAATGGTTGACTAAATATTTTAAGCCCACTGTTTAGACCTACTGCTCAGAAAAAAGACCGTTTTCAAAATATTACTGTTCATTGGCAATGCACCCAAGGGCTCTGTTGGAGATGTGCAAGGAGAGTAATGTTGCTTTCATGCCTGCTAACACCACATCCATTCTGCAGCCCATGGATCAAGGAGTAATTTCAGCTTCCAAGTCTTGTTACTTAAGAAATACATCTCAAAAGGCTGTAACTGCCATACATAGTGATTCCTCTGATGGATCTGGGCAAAGTCAATTAAAAACCATCTAGAAAGCATTCACCATTCTAGATGCCATTAAAAACGTGCATGATTCATGGGAGGAGAAACAATATCAACATTAACAGGAGTTTAGAAGTCGATTTCATTCCTCATGGATGATTTTCAGGGGTTCAAGCCTTCAGTGCAGGAAGTAACTGTAGATGAGGTGGAAATAACAAAAGAGCTAGAATTAGAAGTGGGGCCTAAAAATGTGGCTGAATTGCTGCAATCTCAGGATAAAATTTGAACAGATTAGGAGCAGCTTCTTATGGTTGTGCAAAGAAAGTGGTTTCTTGAGATAGAATTGACTCCTGGTGAAGATGCTGTGAACATTATTGATATGACAACAAAGGATTTAGAATAGTCCGTAAACTTAGTTGATGAGGCAGTGGGTAAGGTTTGAGGGGACTGACTTCAATTTTAAAAGAAGTCATACTGTGGGTAAAATGTTATCAAACAGCATCACATGCTACAGAGAAACCTTTCATGAGAGGAAGATTCAATCAATGCAGTCAACTTCATTGTGGTCTTGTTTCAGATATTGCCACAGTCACCCCAACCTTCAGCAACCTCCACCCCGATCAGTCAGCAGCCATCAACATCCAGGCAAAGCCCTCCACCAGTAAAACAATTATAACTCACTGAGGGCTCAGATGATCATTAGCCTTTTTATAAACAATATAGTACTTTTAAGATATGTTCGTGTTTTAGACATAATGCTATTATACACTTAATAGACTACAGTATAACATAAACCAAACTTTTATAGGCACTGGGAAAACAAAATATTTGTGTGACTTGCTCTGTTGCAAGGACAGAAGAGGCAGGAGGGGCTGCACCTGATGGCCATGAAACTTGGGGCCCGTGCTATGAAAGGGCCTGTGCTCCTTAGGAAAACATGGAGCTCCACAGGACTCCACGTGCAGAGAGAGAAGGGCTACATCCGAGACTCCCTTCAGTAACAGCACCTGGGTGGAATGGATGGGACGACTCTGTCCTGGTCCCTTCTCATCCATCCCCCAGCATCCCTGAGCCATGCGGGGGATGAAATGTCACCCACTTAGGGAAAAGGAAGTGGGGGACAGCTGAGGGTTTTTTCCAAGGTAGCAGTAGACAGTGACCCAGATAGGTGTGACTCATCCCATCTTCCAGCTCTTTATACTCCATCGTTGTTTTATGATTGTCTTAATGCTACCTTTTTGAAGAAGTAAACATGCTTGGTACGATTTTTAAATAAACGTGTTTGCAAATAGTTGGATAGAGACCCCCCTCCTCAAAATTAATGTAATAAATCAGATTGTACATCTAATGAGAAGCCTTCAGGAAATTGTTAAGAACTAAAAGTAAATTCTGGCTTTTTGCAAATCAGTATGAAATGTTGTTTTAATAAGCTTGTACTGATTTGCAATATTGCAGAATATATATTCCACAAAGGGCTTCCCGCCGAATGCGCACACTGAATTAATCTTATTTGGATGACAGATTTTGCACCCGTCACTACTAGAGAGTGTACTGCAGATGATATTTAATGAAAACTTCCAGTCAGGCAGGTGATCTGATGCCTGCGCATGGCTTCCTGATAAAATTGCATGTTTGATTCTTCCCTGATCTCCCACAGATAAAGAGAAGTGCATTTTTTCAGTACAGCCGTGTATCGTTTTGTTTGCTTCAGTGACAATTTTTAGTATAAGCTGATTTAAAACAATCAGAGCAATAGCCAAGTCCAAAGTGGCTTTTTAATAATGGATTTGTTTTGCCAGTTATGCCTGACAAACGGCCTCGCATTGCTGTAGCATTCATGTGAAAACAAAAGGCCTCCATCCACTGTAATGTAGTAGAATTCTTTTTTTTCCTTCAAAGCTCAGATAGCACATGGTTCTTGAGTTACTGTAAATAGCATTACTATATATTGAGGACTACGATGATGTGTGCACAATGTTGTTTAAGGTTAAAATAATCCCTGGCACTAAAATATGGTATTGTATTTCATAAAAACATGAGTACATACTGGAAAAAATTAAATAACTGCGCATCTTCTGATAAGATTTTCAAGAAATTATCTCTTTCCAAAATCACGTTTGGGGGCATCTACATTTCAGTGTAAAAACTAGATGAATGCCAGTCTGCTTTTATATTTCTAGGTGGCCTGCAAAACAACAAAAGAAGTAAGTAACTGGTTATTATTTTTATATCGGGATTTTAAAAATCTCGAGTTTCAGGAGGCTACATGCTCCCCGGGCAGCGACAGGCCACGATAACTGCACTATTGGAGACCTGACCTGACTTGGACGCCACTTGAGTATCCTTGTAGTGACTAGAATTGTCTCCCTCTTGTCCCAGCGAGGACAGGGGTGTCGGTGAGCAGAGGTGAACTGGCCAAGCTGAGTTTCTGTAATGCTGGCGGAATGAGCCGTGCCTGGGGTGGGCCACACAGGGAAGAGGGGCTCAGCACTTTGTGAATCAGCTGGTCCAAGGGCAGTTGCTCTGCAGAGACCTCCTGGATTCATCACAAGGCAGAAATGTCCCGTGATGATCAAAGAGGGTGCAGCCTTGCTGGGGGCACTGGAAATCATTATTTTGTGAGCCTCCTGTTCTCTGATGCGTGCTGCTCTAACCAAGTTTCCTAAATAGAGGAGAGAATATCTTTTCCTTTGCAATTTCTAGATGACTTGGGTAGTCCTAAAGTTTTGGTGGTTCTCCAAGATCATTTAGGGCAGCTAATATGTTATTAGTTTTTGTCTGTTTTAGCAAAAAACTGCAATTGGCATTTCCCATGTGATGCTGCGTGTTGCAGGCTCATCTGTTTCTTGCCCAGGATGATGTTTCCAGCTTCATCTTTGATCTTTACCCTCCCGGAGATGTACTTGGTTTCCTGACAGCCGCTGCAATACACAGTCTTTACGGTGCCATCTGGGTACTCCCTCCTCCTGAACTGGGTCTTGTGGATTTCTTTCTGCCCATTGGTGAGCACAATGGTTTTGTCGCCATTCCCAGAAGAGGAGAAACACATGGTAAGGTGGCCTGCACCAGGGCCAGTGCTGCCAGTGTGGAGGCCAGTGGGGGTGGGGGAGCACAGAATAATGCCCCCACCCGGGTCTGGAGCCTTCCTTCCAAATCTCGTTAGATGAGGGTGCAGAAGGCCACGGGCAGGGGCAGGAAAAGTGCACGGGGGGCTCAGGGAATTGGCAGAAACTCAGTGTGGGTGAGAGAGGGCAGGTGAGGAGGGCCAGGAGGCAGGGCGGGAGGTCAGTTGCGTCTGCTCACCTGTAGGCTAAAGCCTGTGCTGACAGCTGGCTCTGATGGTGAGAGGGACGGCAGGGTTGACACAGGGAGTGACAGAGACACACGTTGAATCATTTCAGAAAAGATTCTGACTGCCATGAGGAAGCTATGGGAGTCTATTGTAATTGCCCAGGAGAGAAATGGTGAGAGGGGGAGATGGGAGAACTCAAAGAAAGGGTGGAGGAGGTGGGGCAGCGAGGAGACACAGCCCACAGCGCTCGGTGTTCACTTT